TATTATTACAGAACAATTTTTATATAAAAATCAAATCATAATCACTAATTTTATTACTTTACACTAAAGAAACTACGTATATAATGGAATAAGCTGGGGGCCTCTCGAAAGCAGCAAGCAATAGGCCCAAATATCCATACATAGCTAACTGAATTTTCGCCATCAGTATTGTTTATTTATGCCAATCTATCTTCACATTCAAACCTAGATAATATAATGAATTAATTTAGTACATATGATTATGCAGATTGATGGGAAATGCATAATACTTAGTACGCCCAGCACGTTTTATTACTACTTCATTTAATAATACAAATAACAGTGTCAAAATTATTTGATTTTCATACAAATTTAAACGTGCGCGCACCATTTTCTGAAATAATGGCGTCACACTGTTAAAACAGCTGACCGCCTTACATAACCTACTAGCTCAATCGAGGCCTTTTAACAGTGTGCATATTTTGTTTGTTAACAGAGGCAGCTGCAAAGCCTGTTAAACAGCTGTTAGGCCTGCCAACCGGTTTCATTATATTTAAAGCCGTTGGCAGGTGCGTGCGCGCATTATTTAAGCTGCGCAGCAAAATTTTGTGAAGAAATCAATGAAATCAAATTGGTGCAAACTTAATGTGCAGCAAAAAGCAATGCAGCATAATCAAAATACAAGAAAGTGGTAAACATTAAAAAAAAATTAAAAGTGTGTTTAATAAGTAAAGCCCAAAATAAGCTTTCAATTGGCAAATTGTAAAACTTGAGGAATCAATAAGAATTATATTCAAGCTTAGCCTGAGGCTGTAAACAAGAAACAACCCCCTCCACATAACCAGGCAGCAAAAATGTCTTATGTGAGTTGTGTGCTATATATATAATCTCTTCTATTTCTTATATAAACATATCAAATTTGCAGCGTTTGAAGGCTACGAAGTGTCCCACGGACGAATTGTCCCTGACTAATCGAGCGATTGTTAACGTGGCCGATTTTCCAGATGATGTGAAGTATGTGCCCCACTAAAGGAGAAACATCACGATATATTTCTATTTACTTATTCATTTATGCACATATATCTCTCTATTATTCAGGTATGCAGATATTTCACCCGCAGCGGGTCAACATTTTATATTCGCACTGGAGAAGACAATGGAAGTGCCCAGAGGCTATGTAGGCTTCTCTCTTGTCCAGCGCAAGTGGGCGATGCTCTCCATCAATCAGGAGCTGGATGTGCGCCCCTATCGCTTTGATGCAAACTCCGATGTCATAACATCGGTATCCTTTGAAACCGATTTTCTCCAAAAGAAGACGTAAGTGTGCAAACTGTGGTAGATAAAAGTAAGGTTAACTTGAAAGAAATTGAGGTTAATTATAGAGAACAAAACTAAGGTTAGGTAACAAGTACAGGTAGAGTTAAAATTTTGTTTCATTACTTCTAAGTAGGTCCAAAATTGGTGTGTGAGTAGACTTGCTTAATAGGTTTGATTAGTTCCTGCTCTTTCCTGATAGATGTTAGACAGAAGAGGTCATGAGTCATGACTGTCAAGGTGTCTTATCTTAGGTGTGAAAACTTTGAATAACAAATAAGTAAAATGGAACCGTCCCTCCCCATTCATTTTCCCGCACAGCGTTTCGCAGGAGCCTTATGACTCAGATGAGATGGCCAAGGAGTTCATCATGCAATTCGCTGGCATGGCCTTAACTGTTGGCCAATCGTTGGTCTTCAATTTCAAGGATAAAAAGCTACTCGGCCTGGCCGTCAAGGTGCTGGAGGCCATCGATCCGAAGAGCCTGGGCGAGGGCAAGGAGCCAGCAATGCGTAATGTCCGTTTCGGTCGCATCTTGGGCAACACGGTGGTGCAGTTCGAGAAGGCAGAGAATAGCTCCCTCAATCTGCAGGGCAAATCGAAGGGCAAGGTGGTGCGCCAATCCATTATCAATCCCGATTGGGACTTTGGCAAAATGGGCATCGGTGGCTTGGACAATGAGTTCAATGCTATCTTTCGTCGTGCGTTTGCCTCGCGTGTCTTTCCACCCGAACTGGTGGAGCAGCTGGGCTGCAAGCATGTAAAGGGCATCTTGCTCTATGGGCCGCCTGGTACGGGCAAAACCCTGATGGCTCGTCAAATTGGAACCATGTTGAACGCCCGTGAGCCGAAGATTGTGAATGGACCACAGATATTGGATAAATATGTGGGTGAATCGGAAGCGAATGTGCGACGGCTGTTCGCCGAGGCCGAAGAGGAAGAGAAGCGCCTGGGTCCGAACAGTGGACTGCATATCATCATCTTCGATGAGATCGATGCCATTTGCAAGCAGCGTGGCTCCGTGGCTGGCAATAGCGGTGTCCACGACACCGTCGTCAATCAGCTGCTGACCAAGATCGATGGTGTAGATCAGTTGAATAATATCTTGGTGATTGGCATGACCAATCGACGGGACATGATCGATGAGGCGCTGCTGCGTCCTGGTCGCTTGGAAGTCCAAATGGAGATCAGTTTGCCCAACGAGGAGGGACGCGTCCAGATCTTGAACATACATACGAAACGCATGCGAGACTTCAACAAGATCAGTGACGATGTCGACTGCAGGGAGATCGCAGCGCTCACCAAGAACTTTAGCGGTGCTGAGCTCGAGGGTCTTGTGCGGGCAGCACAATCGAGCGCAATGAATCGGTTGATCAAGGCCGATGCCAAGGTCACCGTCGATCCGGAGGCTATGGAGAAATTGAAAGTGAATCGCGCTGATTTCCTACACTCACTGGAGCATGATATTAAGCCAGCCTTCGGCACCGCCCAAGAGATACTCGATAATATGCTGGCACGCGGCGTCGTCAACTGGGGTCAGCCCGTTAGCAATCTTCTAGAGGATGGTATGCTCTATGTACAGCAGGCCAAAGCGCCCGAATCCAGTGGTCTTGTCTCGGTTCTTATTGCTGGTGCTCCAAACTCTGGAAAGACGGCCTTAGCTGCCCAACTAGCGAAAATGTCCGATTTTCCGTTTGTCAAGGTCTGCTCGCCAGAGGATATGGTCGGCTATACGGAGTCGGCCAAATGCTTGCACATTCGCAAGATATTCGATGATGCCTATCGCTCCACACTCAGCTGCATTGTCGTCGATAATGTGGAACGTCTGCTCGACTATGGACCCATTGGACCCAGGTATTCGAATCTAACGCTTCAGGCTTTGCTTGTGCTGCTCAAGAAGCAGCCGCCCAAGGGACGCAAACTTCTCATTCTCTGCACCTCCAGCAGACGGTAACCAGTTATATTCCTTATAGCTAAACCCGAACTAATTCTCAACTGCTTACAGTGAAGTCTTGGAGGAAATGGAAATGCTTTCAGCCTTCACAGCGGTGCTGCATGTCCCCAATCTATCCAGTCCGGAGCATGTCATCTCCGTTCTCGAGGACACGGACATCTTTAGCAAGGGCGAACTGCAAGCCATTGGCAAGAAGATGGCTGGCAAACGGTATGTATATAAGCCGATGATGCCACTGACCCGATCTACATTCATCTATACCATACGTTCTAAATATTCACAGCGTCTTCATTGGCATCAAGAAGCTACTGGGCCTTATCGATATGGCTAGACAGACGGAACCCTCTCAGCGTGCCATCAAGTTTTTGACAAAAATGGAGGAGGAAGGTGGCTTGGATATGGTAGCACGCAAATAAGTTAAGCAAGCGAGATCGGAGCTCGTCTAATTGCAATCTCAATTATTAGCTTTTAAGAAAATGAGTTTTCGCCGATATACTAACGCGTT